ATAATATTGTTATCTATTTATTTAACCCGGTTTTAATAATTACTAATTATTGCAATAATTTAATAAATATATAATTAGTGATTATAATTAATAATTACCATTATTATAAATATTGTTAGTAATCTACTTTAATTTTACTTTAAATTAAAATTATAAATATTGTTAATAAATTTAGTAACCTAGTTTTAATAATTACTAATTATTATAGTAATTTAATAAATATATATTTAGTGATTATAATTAATAATTATTGTTATTAAATAGATATTTACTTTAATTATACTTTAAATTAAAATTATAAATACTATTGTTAATAAATACTGTTAAAAAAGTTAGTAACTATTGTTATATTAAAAATAATTAAAAATGTTATTAAAAGTATTGTTATTGATTATTTAATAAAATATTATAATTATTGACTACTACTAATAAATGCTATTAATTTAATGAATATTGTTAATAAATCCTATCCATAAATTTAATAATTACTGTATGTTATATTAAAAATAAGTAAATAATGTTATTAAAACTATCATTACTGATTATTTAATAAAATATTATAAATACTTACTATTATTGATAAATGTTGTTAATGATTAAATATTTAATAAATAATTTTAACAAAAATCAGCAAAAATAATGTTTGTCTTTTTGCTTATTGAATTTGTTTGGTTTAAATTTTTGGGTTTTATGCTTTGAACATTGTTACGTAATGTTATTTAAAAATGCTATTTGCTTTTAGCTTAATGAATTGCTTCAAGGTTGTAAATATTGACACGGGCCGATATGCCCTGTGTTGGTGCTTTTTTTATGTTTTACTTATTTTTTTCGAAATCGATTCAGAGGGGCCGGTTTAAGGCCTGGCTACCCTCTAAACTAGTGGCTGACCCGATACAACCCCTATAGGGGCATATTAGGAAGCCATTGATATGATACGTATTGGCCGATATGAGCCAGTATGTGTTGACACTTTAAACCTTGAATTGCTTTGGTTTACATTTATATATTTTGTGTTGTGAAGATTGTTACATGTAAGTTAAAAATTTTGCTATTTGAATTTTTTTTTGAAAATTTGACAACTATTATATCTAAAATTGTCAAATAATGTAACAATAACAATTGTCAAATAATTCTAAAAATTATCAAATATAAATTAAAAGAAATTACCATTATTAGACATACCAATATTTATAAAAAAATTACTAAAAATAAATCAAAAGAAATTATCACAAATTAGTAGACTTTAGGATGATAATTACTTGAAATTATCAAATAATCAAAATACATTAAAATAATTTGCCAAAAATTATCATAAATTAATGAAAATGTCCAAAAATAACCACTAAATTCTGTAAAATCGATAAATTACTATAATTTACCAATAAACTATCATATAATAAATATAATACATTAGTATATATTTACCAAGAAATTAGTATATAATAGAAATTAGTAATTTCTATTATATAATACATTAGTATAATAGAACTAATTTCCACTAATCGACCAATAAACTATCAAATAATAAGTATAAAAACATAAGTATATATTGACCAAGAATTCTAACAACAAAAATTACAGGCAAAAGATTAAGCGTGTGAGGTCAATTAAGTAGTATCATACGTGTTTTGTCATTCGAGTGTATGATTCATACGACCCGAAAACGGAACTGTTCAGGCCACCGGTTTTTGGGTCGATGGTTCAACTATCCGACTCGAATGGACAACCTGTTATGACAACAAAAATTACAGGCAAAAAATTGAGTGTATGAGGTCCATTAAGCAGTATCATACGTGTTATGTCACTCGAGCGTGTGATTCATACAACTCAAAAACAGAACCATTCAGGCCATTGGTTTTTGGGTTGATGGTTCGACTGTCTAGTTTGAATGAATGGCCCCCGTTCAGACAACAAAAATTATAGGCAAAAAATTGAGTGTGTGAAGTCCACTAAGCAGTATCATACGTGTTATGTCATTCGTGCGTGTGACTCAAAGGACCCAAAAATGGAATTGTTCTAGCACCAGTTTTTGGGTCGATAGTTCGATCGTCCAGTTCGAATGGATGGCCTGTTTTGACTACAAAAATAAAAAAAATAAAAAACAACAAAAAACAATTGAATGGGTTAACGGTTCCACCGCTCGGGTCAATAGGTTGTTGACTGATTCAATGGTTTTTGGCATGGGACTGGGGTTGGGGTAAAAAAATAAAAAGTAGCGGTTCGACCGTTTGGTTCGAACCTAATATAACAACAAAAATTATAGGCAAAAAATTAAGTGTGTGAGGTCCATTAAGCAGTATCATACGTGTTATGTCATTCAAGCATGTAACTTATACGACACAAAAATGGAACCGTTATGGCCATTCGTTTTTGGGTCGACGATTCGATTGTCTGATTCAAATGGATGACCCGTTCTAACAACAAAAATTATAAAAAATAAAAAAAATTACCAAAAACCATTGAACGGGTCAACATGTCAACGATTCGAGGGCCAATGGGTTGTTAACCGATTCAACGGTTTTTGGCTAGGGACCAGGATTGGGATAAAATGGAACCGGTTGCCTAGACAGTTCCCAATTAAAAAATAAACAATGGCTAAAAACCATTGAACAAGTCAACGGGTCAACGGTTCGACTACTCGGGTCAATGGGTCATTGACCGATTCAACGGTTTTTGGCCAGGGACCGGGATTGGGGTAAAATGGAACCGGTTGCCTGGACAGTTTTCGAGCCAAAATGTCCATCCGTTAGGGCCAATGACAGTTCGAAAACCATGGTTTTTATGCTTTTGGATTTTCACTATTCAAAGGTTTCTTCTACTGTGGGCTTTATTTGAGCTTATGCCGTATGTTCTTTTTTTTTCATTTTCTACTTTTATTTTTTTTGTGTTTAGTCTTCTTCTTCAAGATTCTCCAAAATGGTCTAGGATTTACCACCATTTTATTTCTTCCCTTTTGTTTTCTTTGGATTTTCTTGTGCAATGTTTTTTTTTTTTCTTACAAGATGATATGCTTTCGTCTCTTTCTTTGATTGCATGTGTATTTAGCTCCGTCTTAAAGCAGATTTTTGGACTCAATTTTCTGATTTTTTCCTTGGTTTTTCTAGTTTGGTGGATTTAACGCCAATTTATTTTTTGTATTTAAAGTCACTTTGGATTTATTTTTCAAGGTTTTGGAATCCCTTGCAATGTCCACCCTTCCTATGACTATGACTATGAAGTTATTTCGTCTAATTATTGACATCTAGAAAAAATGACTTGGAAATGGAATTGTTGTGGCCACTAGTTTCCAGGTTGACGGTTCGACCATTCGGTTTGAACGGATGGCATGTACTAACAACAAAAATGAAAAAAAAAACTAAAAATGGCCAAAAATCGTTGAACGGGTTGACTGTTTGACCACCAGGGTCAACGGGTCATTGACTGATTTAACGATTTTTGGTCAGGGGCCGGGTTTGGAGTAAAACAGAATTGGTTGCATGGACTGTTCCCGAGCCGAACGGTTTTACTATCCAGGTCAACTGGGAGTTCTCGATGTGAAACAAACGATAACTCTGAAGTAGAACTCAGAACTATCATTGTATGATTGTGTTCTTTGATATGAGATGCTTTGTTGAAGCAATATTTAAAAAACAAGCACATGATGATATCTTTTAAGTGTTTATATGAGTTTCTAGACTTGAGTACTTATAATTGCAAGTTTCTTATTAAAAAACTATTATCTTTTTTAATGTAGTAAATAGCAATGTTGCAATTCCATTTCATAGGGGCCCCTCCACTAGAATATATATTAAAGGGAAAGGGGTGGTCTCAAAACGTCGACCCTTTAGCCAAATGGCAGTATTTCCCTTTAATATATATATATATATATAAGATTCTTCATTGAAAATTCTCAAATCACAAGAAACAAACATAAGGAACCGTTCAATGGGTCGACGGTTCAATCATCTGGTTTGACCAAATGGTTCATTCAGACAACAAAAATTACAAGCAAAAAATTATGGAACCATTCCAACCACTGGCTTTTGGGTTGACGATTCGACCATCCGGTTCGAACGGATGGCCCGTTATGATAACAAAAATTAGAAAAAATAAAAAACGGCCAAAAGCCATTGAATGAGTCAACTGGTTGACAGTTCAAATGCTTGGGCCAATGGGTCAATAATCAATTCAATGGTTTTGGCAAGGGACCGTTCTAGCCACTAGTTTCCAGGTTGAGGGTTTGACTGTCTAGTTCGAACAGATGACCCATTATGAAAATAAAAATTAAAAAAGTAAAAATAAAAATGGCCAAAAACTGTTGAACGGGTCGATGGATCAATAGTTCGGCCTCCTGGGTCAACGGGTCATAGACTGATTCAACAATTTTTGGCTAGAGACTGGCTTTGGGATAAAATGGAACCAGTTGCATGGACGGTTCCTGGGCCGAACAGTTCTATCGTCAGAGTCAACTGAGAATTCTCAATGTGAAACAAAAGACAACTATGAAGTAAAACTCAAAACTATCATTGTGTGATCATATTCTTTTCTATAAGATACTTTGCTAAAACAATATTTAAAAAACGAATACATAATAATCTCTTTTAAGTCTTTCAAGACTTTGATTATTTATAATTAATTTCAAATTTCTTATTAAAAAACCATTGTCTGTTTTAATATAACAAATCCATTCCAACCGCTCCTCTGCTAAATCATATGACCAAATGGAATGCTGTAATAGTATTGTTTTCCACCGGCAAACTGTCTTTCGCTCATTGCACAGTGATAGTATGAGCTTGTCCTCTTCTGTCAAGAGTCAAGACCAGTCAAGTTAATTTGTGGCCAGCCACCCGCCCTTGCTAAAATAGTTACGCGGCAAGCACTAGGGGCTGGCAGCCATGCACCATGAAGAATGTCTACAGGCTATCTCATCTCTCACCATCAATTAATCAAAGATGTGTCAAACACTTATTCGTTCATCTCTCTTATAAATACAAACTATCTAAGTCGCTGCATACACCAAACTAGAAAGTAGTAGTAGCTAGGTCTCTTCACCATGATCAAGTCTGCTTTGCTTTCCCTCTCCCTCTGCTTTCTTGTCTTGTGTCATGGCTGTATAGCCTATATGCACCATCAGCAGCAATCGTGGCAAGGGCAGCAACATCAACAGCAACGCCGGTTCCGAGGGCAAAGAGAGTGTCAACTTCAGGACTTCTCGGCTCTCGAACCCAATACACGCATTGAGTCGGAAGGCGGGACTACCGAGTACTGGGAAGAGAACAACCAACAGTTGAAATGCGCTGGCGTTGCCGTGATTCGTCATGTCATCGAACCCAAAGGCCTCCTCTTGCCTTCCTACACCAATGCTCCTAAGCTCACCTACATCGTCCAAGGTTCGCCCTTCAAATTACCTTCTACCTCTCTACTATTTAAAAGTTCTATCTTTAATCATCAGTCCATTTTGATTGATCATTCATTCATTTTGATGCATTTACAGGTAGAGGTTTTACCGGAGTTGTCTTCCCCGGTTGCCCTGAAACATACCAATCATTCCAACAATCCCAACAATCAGAAGGAAATGGAAAAAGTCGGAGGTATGAAGATTTTCATCAGAAGATCCGAAACTTCCACCAGGGTGATGTCATAGCCTATCCGGCTGGAGTAGCCCATTGGTGTTACAACGATGGTGATACACCGGTCATTGCTGTAACTGTCATCGACACTAGCAACAATGCCAACCAGCTCGATCAGAATCTCAGAGTAAGGAACCAATTAATTAGATCTTACATACATGAATTCAACTCAAACCGATTGTTGTCTATTCCATGTCCATTAACACGACTGAGCAATTACTGTTCTTCTTTCTTGTATGTCCTTGACATT